AGTTTATTTGACACTGGGGCGTACGTGTCCAACAGATAAATTAGAGTCCGATTGTAGAGAAGGACTAGCTGTTCAATATCTTTAGGTGGGGACTTCACTAACTCAGGCCCAAAAAGACAATCCCGAAAAGAATCAATATCCATCGTCTTAAAATTCCTCACTTGAATTTTCTCCCTCTGAGCAACAGGCCTAGCCAAATGTGTTGTAAACCACACAAGGAAGTGATCAGACAAGAGAATATCGTCCACATTCACAGACTGAACTAATACCGCTTTGTCGGATCTTGATAGAACCCAGTCCAAGACATGACCACCACTAAGCGTTGCTTCAGAAACATGCTGAACTAAATTAGCGGAGTCAAGCAAGTGCGTAAGAAGACGAATATTCCTGCAATTTGGATCATCCCAGTGAAAGATAAAGTCACCTAAGATGAGTAGATTTTTGTCGCTAATAGAGGTTACAAGTTTTCCCAAGTCCTCATGAAACGTGCTAATAAGCAGCAGAAGGCGGAGGTCTGAATAGAGTGACAGTTCGTACCGTTTGTTTGTCGTGAGAAATTACAAAGCTTAAACTCTCAAAAGAAGCAAACGTAAGCTGATTACACAGTTTCACAGGAATGGAGGATCGATGGATCACAGCCAACCCCCCCCCCCACCAAAACTCTGACGAGAAGACTGAGGCAGATGGAAAAAATGTAGCCGGCAGGGGTCATGTCTCTAATTGCTGGCTCATCACCACTTTCACAAGCTGATTACACAGTTTCACAGGAATGGAGGATCGATGGAACACAGCCAACCCCCCCCCCCCCACCAAAACTCTGACGAGAAGACTGAGGCCGATGGAAAAAATGTAGCCGGCAGGGGTCATGTCTCTAATTGCTGGCTCATCACCACTTTCACAAAGCCATGTCTCCGTGATGATAATAATGTCAAGCGACTTCTCAGTGATAAGGTCATTGATGATCAATGCTTTCCTTACAGATGACTGTGCATTAATGAGCCCAATGGTAACACCGCAAGTCTTTTGGCGCACTATCTTTGAGGGAGCAGAGTGACGGAATCCCATCTCCCTTCTTCCCCCACGAAAACCTCTTGCTGTTTTCTTTTTTTTTAGCAAAGTGTTCAAACATCCTGTTTAAAAACTTCACTACTAAGGAGATAGCTATCAGGGGTACACAGCTGACACAGTCTAGTAGATGAGTAGTGAGGGCGGGGCATTTCTTTCAAGTTAATTTCTCAGACTATCAAAACAACTGGAAACAGACCGACACTATTGTCGCCTGAAATATTGCTACACAGCGTGCTACATAGTGTTATTAAGAAATTACACACTGCCGCCTCAGAGCTTCAACACGGTTGATTGTTATGAGCTACTAAACAATAACCAAATATCCAGGAATACAAATTTGAGAGAAACATTCCAAAATGAGAAAATGCGGAGAGATTTCACTACTGCCTTGCAAGCGAATCGTGAACCGGAAGCATTTGTTAACAGCGTTGAGTATTTTTGTTTATATTAATTAAGATATAGTCTAGAATGGAAAAACACAGAATAATTCCACCAATTCTGTTCGAAAAAAATTCATACGACCAAGAGACTTTCAGATATAAACATGTCCAACGATCCAGTAACAAAATTTGAGAGAAGCATACCAAAAAATGAGAAAATGTGGAGAGATTTCACTACCTGCCTGTCAAGCACTCGTGAACCTGGCTTAACGCTGGCAGGTGGCAGGCAAAAATCTTCGGACGGCTAATTGACCGACTTTCCATGAACCACTTATGAACAAAAGCAAAGTTAATATAAAGGATTTTTTAAAAATAGGAGCTTGAAATGTGCGGACTCTTCTGGACAAGGGCGACATGGATAGATCGCTGCGGAGAACAGCCTTCATAGGAAATGAACTAGCCGGATAAATGGTAGATACAGCGAATGGTGAATTCCTATCATGATGGCTGGAATTTCAAGGGGAGACAACGATGGGATAATACCATGAAATCGGGGAGAAAACACTTCACCGTCAACAGTTGCTATGCCTCAACACAGAAGAAGTAAACACCAAGTTCTATGAGGATCTTCACACTGTCACAGCTGGTGTTCCAGAGCGGGACAAGCTTATAATTCTTGGTGACTTTAATGCTCGAGTGGGCCGTGATAACATCGCATGGGATTGAGTACTGAGAAAGCATGGAGTGGGCCGTGATCACATCGCTTGGGATGGGGTACTGAGAAAGCATGGAGTAGGCCGTGATCATATCGCTTGGGATGGGGTACTGAGAAAGCATGTAGTGGGCCGTGATCACATCGCTTGGGATGGGGTACTGAGAAAGGAAAGGGGATCGCTGCTCTAGCTGGTGATCTAATGTTGCTTTTTTCTTGCTAGCTTGTGTGTAACAGCTGTGGCTGTCCTACTGGCTTCATGAAATTGAGCCCCCTTTTGACATCTGATCTCCACCTGGCTCTGTCTTGGGCTGTCTGCACCCATTCAATTGGGTCGATGCTGAAAGCCTCTGGTGCCGCTTTCAGTGTGTCCTTGTAACGCTTTCTTTGACCTCCTTGGGAGCGCTGCCTAGCGTGAGTTCCTTGAAGAATAGCTTTTGGGGAGTCGGTGGTCCTCCATACGGGCTACGTGTCCCGCCCAAACGAGTTGAGACTGCATCAGGGTGGTGAAGATGCTAATAGGTAAGTTCGCTCTAGCGAGAACCTCCATGTCAGCCACTTTGTCTTGTCACCTGATGCCGAGGAGTTACCTGAGGCAGGTTGTGTGAAAGTGGTTTAGTTTCTTGGTAAGACGCTGGTAGACTGTCCAAGTTTCCCATCCGTATAGCAATGTCGAGAGGACTGCTGCGCTATGGACCTTGATCTGTATCTCGACCAACGTTTGGACAGCGTACAGTGACTTGTTCGTTGGGACCTGGGGCAGTCTTTCAATAGCCTCATTATTAATGATGGAAGGCGTATTGAGCGCAATATCAAAGTTTTCCGCCCATCTTTTTAAGATTTTCTCCTTGTCTGTGATGAGTGTAGAACTGTCTGCACTAAGGAGAGGGGAAGAGTGTGAGGTGGTAACTCCATAGATTTCTCCCAGGCTACTGTAGAAGTTTTTCATGTCTTTCTTCTCTGGAAAGCCCTGAATCTCATCCGCTTTCGCACTCAGCCAGGAGTCTTGCATCTGGCGCAGTTGCAACTGGACCTTGCTGCGGATGCTCCTCAGTGCCGTTGTCTTTGCTGTTAACATTGGGTCATCATAGACGGCCTTGTGTGCCCGACATTTTTGCTTAAGTAGCATTTGGATCGCTGTGTTGGTTTCATCAAAACAATCATTGTGTTTCCGGTAGAGGATTCGAGGCGCTCAAAGAATATGCTATACACCGTCTCATGAAGTGTGGCCCACGCTCTTTCTGCGTCCTGGTTGTTCAGTGTATCGTGGCGTTCATTCAGGTTGTCAACAAAGGTTTGTCTCACTTTAGGGATATTCAGCTTACTTATTTTGAGGCGTTTCGGAACTTTCGTGGCCTGAGGTCGTCTCTTAGGTGTGATGTGGATTTTCATCTTTGAGACGATGAGACGCTTATCCGTCCAGTATTCTGCGCCTCACATGGCCTTAGTCACCCTCACGTCCTGCCGGTCCCTGTGCCTCACATGGCTTTAGTCACCCTTAGTCACCATGATATAATCTATTAGGTGCCAGTGTTTTGAACGGGGCTGCTTCCAGGAGGTCTTGTTGCGCGTACAGGCAGGCTGAATGTGGTGATTGTTATAAGAAGACCATGTGCAGCACAGGTCTGAAGTAGCAGTAGGCCGTTGCTGTTGTACTTTCCAACACCATACTTATCCATCGCTCCCCACAGGAGGTGTAGTCCCTGCCAATACGTGCATTTAAAGCTCCAAGATGGATAAGTTTGTCAGCAGTCGGTGTGGAGGATATGACAGTGTTCAGGTCTTCATAAAACTTATCTATAATGGTCTCTTCTGTGTTTGTCATGGTGGGTGCATAGGCACTGTCTATAGTGGCAGCCTTTTTTTCTTGGCAGAAGGGGAGTTTCAACGTCATGAGACGGTCATTGATACCTTTTGGAGAGCTGGAGAGCTTGCTCGCAAGAGAGGCTTTGATAGCAAAGCCAACTCCAGCTTCTCGCCTTGCGTCAGGGTCGCATATGAACCAGAAGAAAGAATATCCAGCAAGCCTTTCCATGAGTTCGCCCTTTGCCAGAGAGTCTGGTTTCACTGAGGGCAGAGATTATTTGTTTAATCATCAACTGACTAGCCTACGTGTTCAACTTTTGAATGATATAGAGGTCATTTACAACTAGCATTACATCTTACAACAATGAATTGATTGATTCTATATTCGGTGTTTTGATTTCCGGGAAATCTAATGATACGTCGTATTGGTTCGGACCATTCGCAATTCTCAGCTGCAACAAATCATACACACGTACGCAGTCCAGTGGCGGAGCCAGTGTGGAGAGAGAAAGGGGGCAATAATGGCATTATTTTACATTTCTTTGAAAAAACGTTATAGACTTAGTTGTTTTATCAAACACAATAAAATGCTCTATCTTTTGCGTTGATTCAGGTTCTTGTGTTTGGTAGCTGCACTTTGTACAATAAAACATGAACTTATTCATCTAATAACTTTCACAAATTTATTTATTATTTCATTAACTTTGAAGGCGTCATCCTTTTGTAGTCCAACCAACCCTAAATTGAACAAATCCTCGATCCACCGATCAGTGGGGTAGCTGGGATTACTATCTCCAGGGGCGTGCCAAGAATGTTGCCGTCCACAACCCCCACGAAAAGCTCTGCAGTTTTCCTAAAATCCCGCCCCACACTATATAGAAAAAGTAAGTGCTACCCTTCCTTCGCTGGTGCCGTCCATGAATCAATCTCTCCGCCCTATTTTTTGCCAAACTTGAAAAGACAAAGAGATAAGACTGAAAAAAGGCGCATTTTATTTAAACCCATGCACGCAATCTATAATGTAAGCCATGAATCGATCGTCCAATGCCCAGTCTACAACAACATTCCGACATTTGACTATTGAGATAGATACGATGCGCTAAAACAAGCTGTCCATACACCAGGCTGTCTATAACTACATACTACAAAGCTAGTGGCACTGTGCGTTGTTTACTGGAACTAACTTAGTGTTAATGGGGTATTCTTGAACAACTTCATTTTCCTAGAACATTTCTGTAACACCAGGTACGTGATATGTGTATCTAAAATTTTATACATATAACCAAAGGAGTAACTTCTTGGATATTGTCTGTTCGTTTTCACTGGGGCAGTCAACCCTCCTCACCCCCCTCCCCCCAGGTTCACCACTGGATCTACCCAAAACGTTTTACATATCTTCCACCGTATCATGACGTATATCCATTTACTACTAATATTTTTTTAATTAGTCTACATTAGTATATAAGTAGGTCTTGATACATCAAGTTATCATCGTAGGCTCAGAAGATACGCTGTAGCAGACTATGCGGACCAGTACACTCCGATATAATATTATATATCAATCACCACCTGGAGGTCAACTTTCAATGTCAACAATCTTGCGCGCAGTTCACGATTGGGAACAGGTCGTCACGTGATCTCCGTTGACCGATTTTAAAAAACATACGCCCAAAACAATGATCCCAAAACGTTGTTAATGAATTGTACGAGCTTCACAGTGAATAGCCTTTGTGGTCAGGGTGAATTTAATCATTAAACAAAAATGAACAACGATTATTAAATGTATATAGCAGCAGTGGCCGGTGGCAGTTTTTCTCTGGATATGGAGGCGCTGCATTTTCGGCCCTTTCCGTGGAAGGGGGCAGAAAAACTCTTTGCCCGCCCCGGGCTGCACCTGGCCTCTCTATGTCTTTGCCCACCCCGGGCTGCACCTACCTTCTCTTTCTTTAGCCGCCCCGGGCTGCACCTAACCGTCTATAGCAGTGGTTCTCAACCTTTCTAATGCCGCGACCCTTTAATACAGTTCCTAATCTTGTGGCGCCCCCAACCACAAATTAATTTTCATTGATACTATATAACTTTAGAGTATATGTGTTTTTAGATGGTCTTAGGCAACCCCTGTGAAAGGGTGGGGCGACCCCCAAAGGGGTCTCGACCCACAGGTTGAGAACCGCTGCTCTTTAGGTACGGCTCTGTATGGGACGCAAAATACATTGACATAAACACATTTTAACCTGGGGTTCCATAATTGCAGACGGTAAAGCTACACTGAAAGCTACTCATAGACAGCCTGCATGTGGACAAATGACTGCTGGTGACATTGAACGACATCCTTCTTTTAGATTTGAAAACTATGCTTAGAGCGCCAATCTAATCGTATGTCTACCAATATTTGCACTAAGACCTGTAAAAATGTATGTACCAATTCGTGTACCGATATTTGTACTAATATATGTAATAATGTTTGTAAAAATGTGTGTACCAATGTTTGCCCCAATATATGTAATTATCACACGAATGTTCATACGAATATTAGGGTTAGGGTTAAAAATAAATGGGACCATTACATAGATTGAGTTCTGCAAAGTGATCAGGTGATGGTGAAATGTTCACCTGCCATGCATCTGAGACTGGCTTTGGTTTCATCTCCAAGCAATTTTCCCAATTGAGATTACACACAAAACGGTTTGGTACTTCAATCTTATTTTTTTTAAATTTTATAAATATGTATATCAATTTAATATATATTTAATGCCATAATTATATTATTATAAACAATAAATACTATAGACAAAGGTTATTTATTTTATACATTTTTTGGTATGTATTGTCATTTTGACTGGCCATCAGTGTTTCTTTCAGAAAATTTCACCGAGGGGAGGGGGACACTTTAGATAGAGGGGGGGGCAGTGCCAGTGGAAAGAGGCGTAGTTAAGGTGGGCATAGGGGAAATATATCCCCGGTCGCCAGACTAGCGGGGTCGGGTAATGGGCTATACGGCTATAGTGTTAATGGGTGAAAATAATGGGTTTCAGAGTTTAGCGGGGGGAGGGGAGGAGAGTAAAAATGAATCTTGTCATGTATGACACTTTTTCCCCGTGCGTGAAATTTGCTTGACCCAAATTAGATTCTTAGCACACGCTAAGTTCATAGATGGGCGTGGCTTATCTCTTTGATGTATCGTGTTTATTACCGACTCCCAATTAAAGATGATTAGTATGTCTCCGATTATCTTGTCGAATGATCGCGATTTGTTCTAGAAACGTAAACAAATGTTGAGTAGTTTCTGGAAGGCAGTGCTTACACTGCATATATAAAGGGATTGACAGACACGGAATGAGAGATTCAGATAGATATTATTATATTTACGAGACAATTGTATTATTCTTTGTGTGCTCGTATGTGTTTAGCCTATTCGTATTGATCATTCATCATTATTAATTGGCACTTTGTACTAGCAACTGTGTACCGGTACAAGATTTTCAAATACTCTGTAAGTTGATGATTTTTAATTATATTTCTCTTGTTTTGTAATTGTATTATGACTAAATTAAATCTTACTAATTGTAAATGCCAACTGTTTTTGCGTGTCGTAACTTTATTATTGTATTTCTCTACGGTATCGTCCTTTGTTGTGCACTGTGTGAACGAGCCATAACTTAAAACAAGAGATTAATTTCTCACAATAGAAGCCAGTGCGTAACACCATCTTCTTTAGATTTAGCGGTGGGATTTTCGGACAACTGCAGAGTTTCCATCGAGAAAGGTAGCGCGGCAAAACAGTTAACCTACCTAGAGCGGCGCTAAAAGTAGGCACGCCGCTGGGTAGTGTATATATCAGCACCAAAATTGGTTGCCAGGGCAATATTTTGAGGAATCAGAAGATTCTTGAGCAAAAGCGGGGGCAGGTGTCCCCCTTGATTTAAAAAGAATAATTTCAAAATGGGGTGATGGATTCTGGTGCAAATTCAATGTATCTTTCAGACAATGTGTGAAGGGGCATTTCAGAATTTCATTTATTTACTATTAGGTGTATCGTGGAGAAATGCTAAGAAGACAACATCAACATACACCAAATATATGTGGACTACAAATCAACGTATGATAGCATTGACAGGAAATACCTGTAGGATCCTTTCCTCGAACTTGGAGTCCCAAACAAACTTACCCGACTCATACCAGAGAAGATTGATATCTCCAAAAGTAGAATCAAAGTACAGAGAGAGTATTCGAGGGCGTTCCCAATTAATTAGGGCCTCAGACAAGGGAATCCTTGTATCCTTTTCAACATAACGTTAAAAAATGCATTAGAAACATACTTGTTAGCAGCAGAGAGGTAGTACAGAACAACCATAAGTAACATTATAAAGTCAGCCCCTGTAGTACTTGGCATACACAGACGATCTAGCGCTACTTGGTAGAAACAGCAATGATATAATTAAAGCTTTCAGGGAACTTGAAGATGTCACGGTCAAAACTGGTCTTAGTGTAAATAAAGCGAAGACAATATATATGATAATGTCAGGACATACGCACACTGATGACAAGATCATTATGAACAGCCACATCTTTGAGAGAGTATCTACTTTCAAATATCTAGGGGTGACTTTAAGTAAGTAAAAGGAAAGGATGCGGCTATTCGGACCCGTTGAGAGTTTGGGTTTATTAAAAAATATTTAAAAATTGTTGTAGGGTTTGTAAGACAAAATTTGGTATCAAATGAAAAATAATTGAATTAACTTATTGTTTGTAAACTTTCTTCTTCAGTTTAACTACAATAAACGACCACAAATGACAAATGACATCCGAAAAGAATTTAGTAAAAAATGGAAACGGAAACCTATCGCCGCTATTCGGACCCGGGTCCCATTAGACTCAAGCTATTTTAGTTTGCAAACATATAGTCCATTCAATTATCCTTCATTTGATATCAAATTTAGTCTTACAACCTAATAATAATATTTTATTTTAAATTTGAATCCCAACCTCTCATTATGCGGACCCGGGTCCGAGTACCCACTTCGAAAAGGAAACACAATCGGAGGTGAAAGAAAAGAAAACAGCATGCAACCGTTCTTATTTCAACTTTAAAAAGCTACTACGAAGCAAAAACCTCTCTAGTGGAATAAAGAAGCATTATGCACCACCATCATAAGACCAGTAGTAGCTTAAGCAAGTGAGACTTGGTTCCTCCTAGAAAAGCAGAGAACCTGCTCAATATATGGCCCGATGATAGACAATTTTGTTTTGGGAATCCGTTCAAGCCAAAAGCAATATTAATTGTACAAATACCCACCCATAGTCCCAACAATAAAAAAAAAAGGCAGACTGCTCTGAACAGGACACATTGAAAGAATGCCGGATTCTAGTGCAGCAAAAAACGATCTACATGCAGAAACCTAGGTCAGACGGCTAACCGGTCGACCAAGACTGAGATGGATTGTCTATGTAATAATAATAATAATAATAAAGTTCATTTCAAAAACACGCTTCATCCCCAAAGGCTCGAAGCGCAGTACAAAGTCAACAAAAAACAAATCTATAATTTACCACATTTTAAACAAACGCAACGTACAAAAGGACTTACAAAGGTTGGAGTCAAACCCGATTTGTGGCCGACTGGCCGAGCCGCACTAAGCTCCCTAAAGATCCGTATGCGGCTCGCAAGCCATGATTCGCCGACCACTGCAATATCAATAGGCTATTATTACTATAAATTATAAATGGTTCATTGCTTCCTACTGTGATTATTTTAAAATACATTAAATATGTAGGCTATCATTAGACCTACACTACATACAATACATGGCAGTTCATGACATGACTAACTTTATTTAATTAAATGAATTTATAACCTTTTAAAGGAGTTAAAGTTAAAGCCTTATTTTTACTATTGTCAAAAGTATTGGTGACCACCTTCAGTCAATTTTACATGAAATCCAAGTTATTTGTTTTTATTTTGCAAGAAAAAAATATCTTTCCATTAAATCATCAATGCTACAAAAAGCTTACATGATTTCTAGGATTTCAAACTATGAAAAATATATTATGACTTAACAGCTCCAATTTAAATAATGCTGCAGCTTATTCTGCCCACTGTTTATTAATTATGTTTGACGTTTTTCTCAGTTTAGTGATAAACAGTAGAATTGAAACCTAATCCCACAGACATGCGTCAATCCTTTGATCTCTCGAAGTACAATGTCTCCTATGACATTGGTTTTGTACTTATGAGTCCTCTGGTAAGATTGTTCAATACTTAAATTAAAATAAATGGAGCACAAAATTTAAGGCTATGTTTTGCATTTTAATTTTAGAAATAAAAAAAGTGACACTTCTAATGTTAAACCACATAAGCTTGTTATATTTGAAACTTCTTAGAATGTTTTACCTTTTTAACCTCAATTTAATAACTGATATTTTTCTAATTTGATAGCTCATAATCTTAATTTAAAAAATGAAAATAAAATAAATATTTAAGTACATATAACAGCATGCATATTAATTACATTTTTTAAATAGATAAAATACTCCTTTACTTTGTGTAAAAATTTCCTACATTGACAATAAATCATTTCAGAAAACCCTTCCGTCCTACTTCAATCCCTGGAATGAGCTTGCTGAATCTCTTCCTAAGTTGATGAGGGAGAAGAAAGTCAGAGAAGCTGTCAGGCGGGTATGTGGTTTCCCCATCTATTTAAAAAACAACAACATTGAAATATGCTAATATGAAAAAATGCTGAGTTTGAGTGTTGGATTCATGCCCAATTTGTTCAGTACCTATAGGATGTTATGTTTTAACTTTCATTGTATAGTTGGTAGATGTGATGAAAAATATTAAATTAAATAGGTCTAATACTACTATTTTTTCATTCATAAATATTTAAAAAAACAAAACATGACATTTTGGTTATTAATCAGTTTTTTGACACACTGGTAGAAATCTAAATTTTAATTTGCTGATATTGAGGAAAGAAATTAACTTTTGTTATTTAACTAGATCATTTTAAACTTTGATACTAAAAGCAAAAATCTGAAGACTTTCTTTTGAAGGAAATGGATCTTTTTAATCCAAATTAAAAGAATTTTTCTTTATCTTATTGTTGAGAATAAACTTTTTTATAACATTAAAAGAATTTATAAATGGATAATTCAACTTTCCACAACATTTTACTTACTAGCTGCCATTGTTAGACCATAGCCAACTTGTTGGACACAGGCAATTAAGACTAGCACATCTTCAATTGAGTTTCATTACTGCTGGCTATGTTTGGCAGGATGGTGATAAAGGTGTACCACAGGTAAGACGGTAATTTCTGTAAGATTTTATGAAATTTATTTTAATCTGATTTAATCTCTTTCAGTTCTGGGTATCTGATATAATTTTATGAAGATTATGTAATTTCTTTCAGTTCTGGGTATTATGTACCTTTGTGAAGATTATGTAATTTCTTTCTGTTCTGGGTATCTGATGTAACTTTGTGAAGATTATGTAATTTCTTTGAGTTTCAAAATCAAGCAATAAAGTCTTTCAACTTATTAAGGCTGAAATCACTCTGGCTCTGTATTTCCCCAGCATCCAAGACTGACATACAAAACCGAAATTTGCAACAACAAAAAAAAACAATAACTTGAACAAAGTGAAGAAGCTCATGGTAGCTTTAGTAAAGATTGATCAGTCAGTGCTTTGCTGACATGTACCAACAACCATCAGTCAAATACAGAGACAGTGTGATTGTTGCCTAAGAAACAATGCTTTAAGGACTAAAAAACAGATAACCTTGAAAAAAAAAATTGTCTATTTCTTTGGAATGCAGATCAATTCCTGCGGTTCAAATTCACTTACAAGTTTAAGAACAGTTCTAAATAATCTTTTCTATCTGTTTAAATATTTCGTTGTTGATTATATCTCTTTTGGAAATCTTATCCTATGATCACCAAAAGCATCAAATTTAGCTTATTGTTTAGATTATTTAAATATTCAACTTCTCTCCAGGTATTACCAAAATGCGTGGCCTTCCCATTTTACAACATTTCAAAAGAACTAGGCATCCAGCCCATCTTAGGGCATGTTGACCTGGCACTGGCCAACTACCACCTAATTAACCCGAGTGGGTAAGTAATCACATGGGTCAATCTACTCATGTATCAGCATTTAGTTTCATGGCAGACAATCCTACAATCTTTTCTGCTTGATATTTTCCATGTATAGCCAAAGTTCAGAATGTTAGAAAAATTTTTGAGAATGTCTCTTAAGTATTGTAAAAAAAAAAATTGATATCATGATTTAAAGATGTGGTTTGATGGCATTAAAAAGAACTACCCAAAATGTCCTCTTTAGTGAGTCTCGTCAATCATCATTTTTATATCATTAGAAGTTGAAACTATTGCTGTGATTTTGTTTGCTAAACTGGTTTTATAAGCATAGTTGTTACTACTTATGCTTTTAGCTGATTGTGTTATTTTTAATTTGTGGGTACAGTGAGATTGTCCAATTTGTTTGTTGATTTTTTCATCTCTGCAGGCCTTATGAAATTGAGTGAGTATTCAATGGAACTCATTTTTAAACAAGGTATTTTTTTAAAATTAGATGCAATAAAAAAAATCCCCCCCCCCCATATATCAACTAATATGAGTGACATTCATAAATGTTATGATTGAACTTTTCAAATGAGAATCTATTTTAAGAACTTGGCTTTTCTAAGCTCACTCTATTATAAAATAAATTTTTTTTTCTTTCACCACAGCTTTTTTAAGTTTAAACAATTGAAATTTTAAAAATTTGTTCTTTTATATTTAAAAACATTAAAATGGAAATTGTGGGAAAGGTAGGGATAATAGAGGGAAAGAGAGTAATAAAGATTATGATACTTAAACACACTAATCATTTTTTTTGAAGACAGGAGACTTATTCAAACTCAAAAATTATTTTCGAAAAATTATTTGGCTATCTTTTCAGCAAATTTAAATGTATTAATTCAATGTGAACCAATTGATAAGTTTAAAAATTTGTTTTATTATTTTTAAAACATTAAATTTCCCTCCTTATCTCCCGAGAAATTAAATTTGATCTGTTGCAAAACAATGATATTTGAAACATGTTTTTTGAAGAAACTTACAGTGTTTGTATCACATCCCTGGTGGGTTGGCCGGAGACTGGTTTTGTGTTGTGACTTTCATGCTGGAATTCAGTTTTGCAAGGTGTTTGAAGGTAAATGAAAACTGGAAATAAAGAAACCCTTCCTCAAGATACAATGAAACAGATTTGCAACCTACTAACTGTACTACCGTAACATATATTAAGGAAATACAGAGGCATTCATACCTCCAGCCTGAATTTGTCTCTTGTAAGCACTTTCCTATTCGAAGTGTTTTTACATTATGACACAGGAAGAATTTCTAAAAAAAAAATCATCCATAAATGAGATCCCACTTAATGCCTCTGGCTGTTTGTCTTTCATTGTAAACAAACAAAAATGCTCTCTACCCCAAATAATGATTGATAGATAAAATAGCTGTAACAAGTGTTCAAATAAATGATCACTCCTGAGACAGCTGATCCAAGTTGATGTAACTGTTCTTTACAGCATCTTGTAAGGATACTGGATCTGCTGGAAGTGGCACATGTACAGATGAGAGCTGACGAGAAGGGGTGCAAAGATACTGAGCGCAAAGATAATGAGCGCGAGATGGCTGAATGTCTGGATGACATCACATTGGCTGTCCAGAACATGGAGGCCTCACTTGCCAGAATGCATGGTATGATTTCTAGTCATTATTATCTGATTATTGCTTACCTTTATGTTTTTTAGTTTATTATCCAATATAAAATGTATTACTGTTAACATAATGCTCCAGTGAGAGTATCACCGATAAAGAGATTTAATATTTAAAATGATTATTTTGACGTCACATCATGCTCAAGTTTTTAGGTTTTTTTTTTATTTAGTAAAAAATCAATAAAAAGTGGTCGACCATATTTCTCACGATGCCACACGATTACTATGTGGCATGGGAGTACTGCAAGTTTACATCATCAATATGTTGAAATTCCCTAATGCTAATGTAATTGAAATTTAAAGAATTATGAATAAAAATGGGAACCAAACTTTTGTTTAAAAAACGTATATTCTGATTATCACAGTGTATTGAAGGGGTTCTTTCAATGTTCTTGTCTTTGATCTAACTCAAAATGTCATCGTAATGATACTCTGTTCTTAAAAACTCATACACTGACCATTGATGGATTTCAAAAACAACTACAGACAACTGAACAACGAAGAGTTACAAGAATGTTTCTCGATAACTAACATAGCTAATCTAAGGAATGCTTGAATTTCCATTATTCTTGTAAAGAATTTTTTAACAATTGTCTATTTCTAATTTCTATATATTCTACAGATAACCTTGATGCCAAAATGTTTTTTAACGTCATTCGTCCATTTCTTGGAGGGTAAGCTCAACAACCAACATTCATTATTCTCTATGTAACACTATAGACACTATCCTAAAGGTTCAGTAGTGTGCAAAATAAAATAAATTCCAGATAACTGCGCTAAATGGGATTCTTAAAAATTCAGCAAGTGCGTTTGGTGCGCACTATTTTCTTTTGTCGTACAGAAATAGTTGGTGTGATAAATCTCCAGTGGAAAAGAGTGTGAGACATTAGAATAATTCATATGGTTCAATAGCGATGACATACCAGGGGTGTACACACCAATATGGAATATTATAAAATGTGTTACTTGAAGGCATATTTTGTCAAGTAACTTCAGTTGCGGGGAAGTTGACACATTGCTGGCCGGCTAAAGCTACCGTATTTTACTGACTATAAGAAGCCACGGACCATAAGACACACCTTAATTTTTAAGCAATTAAAAAAAAAAACATTTATGTATATTATATTAATTTCGAGTATAAGATGCATCTGAACTTTAGAGGCAATTTTTAGAAGAAAAAAGTGCATATTATAGTCCGTAAAATACGGTAGTAGAATTATAAAATTCATACTGCCCAATAAAATTTTAAGGTTTAAGAAAAACATTGAATTCCTAATTGTATTGTATTGAGTTTTAAAAAATAAATCACACACATTGCAATTTTTTTTTTAAATGTGTCCTTTTATTGACCAGTTGGGGTGGAGAAGGAAATGCACTTCCAGATGGATTAATTTATGAAGGAATCTCAGATTATCCAATTAAGGTCAGAGCATAAGTCAATCAAATGTTGTATTCTTCACAAAATGTCTTTATTACTTTCATATGTACTACATTCACATTTATCAAAGTTTTAATTAAATTTATCTATTGTTTATTGTATTTTCTGCTGAAGAAAACATTTAGCCAAAATGTCCATTTAATTGCCTTGTCTTTTATTTTTAAGCCTAAACATATTATCTTGTAACAAAATGAATTTAAAGGTTGTTTTTTTTATTTTGTAATACCTAAAATTTAAGTGTTAATCCAGGAAACAAAATTCTTTTAAAAAAAAAGACAAAAAAATAGATTGTCAAAACAGACTTTCACACTGATAAAATGGGAATCTAAAATTTATTATTGGTTATACAGTTATAAACTTCTATTGTATTCTTAAGATTGCTACTTCTTTCTTGTCTTATATTTTATTGGGTTCATGCTAATTGAATAAAATATTCTGTTCACAATGTGCCAATGTATGATACCCCTTGCCTTACCACAGATGCCTGGAGGCAGTGCAGCACAAAGCACAACATTGCAGATTTTAGACGCACTGCTAGGAGTTGAACACACTGAAGGTAGGCTTTCAAAAATAGTTGTTGTTTTTTTTGGTGTTGCTACATGTCACCCCTAGTTCTACATCAGCAGCTGTAAAAATTGCTATATGTTTAAAAGTTTAAAAAAGAAATCACTATGTCATTGTTATAATTTGAGAACCGTGAGTCATGACTAACCCACATTATTCACAGCCAGAATTAAATGATGATCTAAGGCCAAATCTACACCTTTAATTATCTCCATTAGTTTGCCAACATTTAATTAAGTAATTTTTGAAAATATCCTTACAGAATTAAATGAAGCTTATATTTTTTTTAAATTTCAACAGTACACACATTATAGCATCCTGCACATGTTCAGTTCATTACATGTGTTAATTCCAGTCTAAATATGTCCTACTACACACATTATTCTCTTTTATTACTCAATCACGCCAGACAAAAGAGCTTTTTTAGTGCACATGCGAAGCTTCATGCCCCCAGACCACTGTCGTTTAATTGTGGACCTCGAGCAAAAAAGACCACACAAGCTGAGAGATTTAGGTAATTTGATATTAGCCAATGATGACTTGGCCATGTAGATAATAAGACACACTTAAGATGAGATTTGGGTTATTTTATCTTAGTCAATGATGACTTGGCCATGTAGATAATAAGACACACTTAAGATGAGATTTAGGTAATTTGATCTTAGTCAAAGATGACTTGGCCATGTAGATAATAAGACACACTTAAGATGAAATTTGGGTTATTTTATCTTAGCCAATGATGACTTGGCCATGTAGATAATAAGACACACTTAAGATGAGATTTAGGTAATTTGATCTTAGTCAATGATGACTTGGCCATGTAGATAATAAGACACACTTAAGATGAAATTTGGGTTATTTTATCTTAGCCAATGATGACTTGGCCATGTAGATAATAAGACACACTTAAGATGAGATTTAGGTAATTTGATCTTAGTCAATGATGACTTGGCCATGTAGATAATAAGACACATTCAAGGAGAAATTTGGATAATTTGATCTTAGTCGACGATGACTTGGCCATGTAGATAATAAGACACACTCAAGATGAGATTTGGGTAATTTGATTATAATAATTGATGACTTTGCCTTACACTATCACATACTGAGGGGTTTATTTAGGAAGTGATGTTATTTAACTTGTCAGTACTTTAAGAGCTGGCTGTGTCAAAATGAAACAAGAAAATGTACTTTTCAATATTTCTAGTAATCTTAACAAATTGTCTTCATCTCATTTATAATTATTTAATACTAAGGGAGAGAAGTTTTATGGTGTATGGTGGCTGCTTTTTTTAAAATTTGAGAATACTTTAGATGTCTCATGTTTAATTTGTAATAGTTTTAAAATGTTGTCCTGATAAAAATATTTATCTATGTTGTTATGTAGACGTCTGGCTTACATCGTCAATTTAGTGCTTGAGCTTGGGAGACCCCAAGTTTGGCAAGACGATGGGTGTGGCCTAATTATAAATAGTCTCCCTTGACTCCATGTAAACACACCCAATAGTCGAATTCTGTAGAATTTACAAGGCGGCCCTTGATACAGATGTAATGTCTGGACTCTTTCTGGAAAAGTCTCTATGAAATACTATAAATAAGCCGATCGGTCTAGCTCGGTAGACTAGATGGAGACTGCGGGACAAAGAGAGAGAGACAGAGATTGCAATTATGATACAATTCGATAGTGAGACTAATAGACTGACATACGGTACGATTGTAGATTTGCATATTCTATTTATTGTACGTGTGTGCGACTTCCCAACATTGTACCAGTACCAGTTCATTGCTGTACCGTAAGTGAATAGTTTTATTCTCTTTGATTTTGTGTTGTAAAGTTAGCTTAATAAATTATAATTTGTAGTTAGCACTAGTTTGGGTATCGTACTTAATTACTGTATTTAATTAATGGCACCATCCCTTGTTGTGTACTGTTTGTCACAAGCCATATAGTCAAATAAGAGATTAAATTCTCTACACATTTAGAGCAGTACGTAACAGTGTGCTGAAAATAAATATAGGCCTATACAATGCAATAAAAAAATTGCCATTTATTTGGAGTATAAAAGGATCTTAAACTGAGAATTATTGGTAGAAATTGTGGCTTATCTTTTCAATATCATTTACTAACTGAAACAGAAATTATATGTGTTTGAAGTGTTGCATGAAACACTGTATTAAATGCAACCATTCATCATTTCAATTGAGTCAACTTTTAGCCAAGAACTCTACGAGGCCTACAACAACTGTGTCTCTGCACTGGTGCACTTGAGAAATTACCACATACAAATTGTGACAAAGTTAGTAATTTATGTAATCAACATTTTTTTTGCCACAAAAGAAGTCTATGTTGATTCAAGGATAAAGATTTTTTTAGTGTTTGTCATTTGCAATCCTAGAGTGGAAGGGGGTGGGCACTGTTGGGGTTTACATATAACATTATATAAATAGTGTATATGTATGTGTGTGTTAAGGGGTATACTTTTGAGAGTTCGCTCCAGGCGGAATTAAATCAAGATCTGCCACTGGCTTAAGTGCACTAAGTGAAAATTATTCTTTTTTTTTTTTTAACCTTCAGGAGCTAATAGATTGTAAATGGCTGTTATTGAAGGATTTAAAAGCCAAACATTTTTAGACTACATTTTGAGCTTTAATTTTCAAGCTTAATAATATTGTTTAAAATGCCAATCCAATAAAATTAATTTGTCATTTAATTTTATTCATTTTGGATCAAATAAACCAAATATATGTTTAATGTTTATTTAAGAAATTAATTAATAACTTAATTTAAAGTATAAAGCTGCTATTGAAAAAAAAACCACTATAAGTTACTTAAGGAAACAAAAGATGTCAATTTCTTAAATTATTATTCTTTTTTTTTTAATTTGAAAATTTATTTTCCGTTTTGCTTCCCATTAATAACCTTGGAGGCAAAATAAATTCAAAATTGTGTTTTTTTAAGTTTCATTAAATTTTTTTTTTTCAAAGTTATCATTATGTAATAAAATGATTTTAATTTCCCAGGTATGTTATTCAAGCTTCACAAACTGTAAATAAAGGCAACTACGAGAGCTTGGATAAAAAAGGCACAGGAGGAACAAGTAAGTGTAGTAATTTATGAGTAAATAGCTCTTAACATCACATTTTCTACCATAGAAACATATCCATAATATTTAGAATTCAACAATCTTCAATAATATTTCAATTAGATCTAGTTATACATTGATGTGTTGATTCTATGTTACAACATTGGTTAATAAAAATTTGGTTTTGCTTTCTATTTAGAGAATAATCACATTGCTTCTCGCTGAAGTTCTTTTATATATCCTGCTGATTTTCAAAATTAATTTTTAATACTTTTTTAGGGTGCATCATTGAGAGCATTTTAGTTTCAGACTTTGATAAAAGATTCAGCTATTTATATATGCAGGTACTTATTATATTTTTTGAATATAATTGTATTCCAATTCAAGTTGCAATTATTATTATTTTTTTTTATTTTTTATTTTTTCCATTAGGTCTCATTCCATTTTTGAAAGACATCAGGTCAGACACTCAGAAAAAGATAATGCCCATTCCACACGCACAGAGTAAAAAGTCACAAGGGAAACTGATGTCATGGCAGAAGGTTGCGGTCGTTGTCGCCATAACAGCATCTATGGCAGTTGGTGCCATAAAACTTCTCAAATACAAGTGAGGTGGATCTCAACTTTGTAATCTGGGGGACTTTGTGTGAAAAATTAGGCTTTGTTGTATTCGTTAAACTTTATTGTATGGCATTAGTGCCTTTCAAATTTCAAATATTTATGTCGTGTGAACTTTCAAACAATTATTTAGATCCCTGGCTCCTACTATCTATGAAATTGCCACACACAAAAAATTGCTGAACTTAGAAACTAGAGGAAGTTTGTTAGATCAGAAATAATGGGACAATTTTTTTAAAAATAAATTTTATTAAAAAGTTTACATTATGCCCATTTCTAAAATCTCACCTTCTGTTAGAAAATTTTTTAAAAATTAAAAATAATTTACGCTTAACAAATTTAATTTGAATTATTTTCTGTTCATACCAGTTGGTTGCAAACAAACTGTTTTCGTACTAATTTCAAGTGATCCATTTCATCTGACTTTATGTTAATTATATAAAAAGTACATTTTTATACATTTCCAAAAGTTGCATAAAATATCTTAATTATTTAAGACTTGACTTTTGATGATGTGGATCCTTGGGGAAAAATTAATATTTAAGTGTGAGGATTTATTTTAGTTTTTTTAAACATTAGTGCATGCTACTTCCATAGGTAGGGACCCCTGAAAATAATAATGAGGTTTGAGTTACCTAAAGAAGGATTATAAAAAATAATCCCTCAAGAAAATTATTTTATTTGTCAATTCTGAGAGATTGATATGGTGACAGTTTTAAGTGATACAAACAAAGTGCATCTGAGAAGTTACTGGCATAAAGCATGGGGTATAAGCATGGGCTCTAAACCATGGGCTCTAAACCATGGGCTCTAAACCATGGGCTCTAAACCATGGGCTCTAAACCATGGGCTCTAAACCATGGGCTCTAAACCATGGGCTCTAAACCATGGGCTCTAAATCACCATAACAATAAAAGTGTGAGATGGAAGCAATTTCTTAAGCTGGCAAAAAAATGGAAAGATGATTATAAAATGTACTTAGCTGGTAAAAAAGAAGTTCTCCACTTGCTGAATTGAACATTGACATTCTCATATTTGATGAACAGATGAAAACATACAAAATTAAACATGCATTTTTATTTACTCACTTCATGTAATTTATTATGATATAAGATTGGTTTATTTATAAAACAAAATGTATGAAATATTTTTTTAAAATTGATTTTAAATAAGAGTCATAAGCAGGAATTTGATAAAGTGTTCATATTTTTCAATTAATAACAATTTGTGTTTGAACTGTATTATTTGTAATTTATTGTTACCTGATTTAAAATTGCTTCTGAAACAATTCATTTTACATATTGTAGTGCAACAATTTTTTATTTACAAATTATAACTGATTGCTTTCTGTGTAAAAAAAAAAATGTACTTTCAACTAACCAAAATATGGTTACTTCAGGAGCATTTGATTTTAAAGATTTCTATTTGAAAGAATTTTTTAATGAAAATGGATTCAATCCCTGATAAGTAATCCCTAAAAAAATTCACCTCCCGTGGATATCGAATTACTGCACCTGTGTCAGAAACATTTCACTAGAACAGTGGTTCTTAACCAGGGGTTAAAGTACCACCCCAGCAGTATTTCTTTCAGACAATATCCCCCGAGGGCTTTTCAGATTTTCGGAGGAGGTGGCAGTCCAAGTGGAAAGAAGCATAGCTAAGGTGGACTTAGGGGCATATTGCCCCTGGCGAATAGCGCGGGCACCTAATGGTATTTTATGGATGAAAATAATAGGTTTCAGATGAGGGGGGGGGGGGTAAAGAAGAATGTTGTCCCTGGCACCAAACACTCACGCAAGTGACTTAGAAAGTGTGAGGGAATCGTATTGTTGTCCTGTCCTGATGTCATTTTTTCTTTATATTGAGTGGTGGCATAACTGTAACATTTATTTTGTGAAAGGTAAGGAGAAAAAAAAAGTTTCACCCCCCCCCCCTTTTCAACACTAGGCACACTGCTGGGCAGTGTATTTATCGGCTCCAAAATCGGTTGTCAGGGCAAGCAGTACTTCCATTTTTTATTGGGAATTAGGCAGAAATCGAACATCCCTATGGCTCATACCTAACCAGAAAATGTGTCATTATTTAAAATTCAAGAGGTGCGTTTTTTACATTATTTGAATGGTTGATAAGACTATTTGATCAGGGGAAATAATTTTTCAAGTGGGGAAAGGGGGGGGGGGTGGGAAAGCATTATTGCGCTCAGTGTCATAAGTAAACAAAATTCATTCTGGTTGTGGTGCTTCCAAGATAATCAGTTGACATATGATTAGATTCAACCCCGTTAAGTCACATTGAATGACGTCAAGGGGGTTGCAGAAAATGAGGAATCCGAAGAGTCTCGAGCAAAAGCGGGGGCAGGGGTCAACCTTATTGTTTTTAAATAATAAAATCCAAATGCAGCGATGTATATTGATGCATATTTAAATTCGGTGTTTCTTCTTCTTCTTATATTTGAGGGGCCCACGATCAATATGTTGATCATTCTGGCTCATGGTTTAAATTCAGAGTTTGCCTTCTCTTAGATGGGTTGCCATCCAAGGCTAACGAGTCCCATCCACCCGGAGTGCTTGAGATGTTGGCTTTGGTGGGGATTGAGCTCCAGACCATCAGCTATTTTGTTTGAGACAGTTTAGACCACTCATAGGGGGCATTTCAGACTTTCATATTTCGTTACAAGATGTCATCTGAAGAAACGCTACGAAGACAACATCAACATACACCAACTATATTTTAAAGCATTCAGGGAACTTCAAGGTGTCGCGGTCAAAGCTGGTCTTGAAGTAAATGAGGCGAAGACAAAATATATGGTAATGTCACGACACACTCACAGTGATGACAACATCAATATAAACAACCACATCTTTGAGAGAGTCGTTGTTTTTTTTCTCAAATATCGCGGGGTGACTAAATGAGGACAATGAGATAATGGCAGGGATGAGAGAAGGTATAACACCTGGCAACCGTTCTTATTTCAGCCTAAAAAGCTGCAAGGAAGCCAAAACCTCTCAAGAGAAAGTATGAAGGCAATATACACGACTACCACTAGATCAGTATTAACTTACGCAAGTGAGACTTGGTCCCTACCAGAGAAGCAGAGAACATGGGGAGGAAAATTCTCAGGAAAATATACGGCCCGGTGATAGAGAAATTTTGTTAGGCGAATCCGTAAAAAAAAGAGTTACATCAATTTTAGGGGCTTTAAGTTGTGCTGTAAATATTTTAATTATCAACTTTTAATGCTGGGTAGGGAAGGAGAAAACCGAAAAGTAGCAAAGTTTTAAGGGGGGGGGGGGGGGAGTCAAGCTAAGAAGTCGCTTCACCGAGCGTGTCATTACTTTAAAAATAAATGAATTTACAAAAAATATTTCAAAAACGGTTTCCATCACACAAAAAGCTACTAAAATAATTTTAAACGTTGCACGAAAATAAAAAGCCAAAAAAACATACGTTTATTTCTAAATATTTCCAAGTTTTACCAGAGTCAAAAAGGGAAAAATGAACTCTTTGTAGGAATGGATTTACATTTTTTGGGGGTTTTCAAAATTTGGTACATTTTATAAATCGTGTATATGCGACATAATTATTTTAAGAAGACACGAGTTGTTTACTAAAGACATTATATTTAGGCCTATAGATTTTCAAACTACTATAACTTGCTTCAGATCAATTACAAATTTCCTCTTCGATATACTTAAAACATTGTTTTACAAATTCCATATAATTTATTTTATACTACTAATAAAAAATGGAATTTGCAAGATAATCGAAATGCTATTTTGTTTTTAAAATATATTCTTTCTCTTGGATTATCATCAAAAAATGTATTTTTAAAAATGTGTTCAAATACTTGGGAAAGATTGTTTATTATTCTGATATTAAAAAAAAAAGGAGAAAGTTCGTTGGGGATTTAATTAATATAAGCTAAGTATACACTGTTATTGAAGTCTTTCAACTTGTGACGCTACAAAATACAGTTTAAAAAAAATAATAAAAAAATATCGATAAATGCGAACAGCAAAAAGTAAGTTCGGCCTATTATCTGGAGCAGCCAATTTTCAAAACATTACGATATTTGTAATCGATATGTGTAAGCCTGTAAGAAGATTAACCTGAACGATACGGATCATCAATATATATCGAGCAAAGCGATATTTGATCGGTTCCATTAATTGTAATCGATGAAAGGCAAAAAAAAAAATTAAATATTATGAAAATTAACGTTTAGTATTTTTTTAAATTAGCAAATCATATTATCTTACACATTTTCCCCCGGGGGTTAGGGGGGGGGGCGCTTTACTTGATTGAATGATTGAATACTTATATAGCGCCAAGTATCCAGGCTATTTTAGCATGCTCACTCCGCTCTCAGTGATGGTATCCGGGGCGTCACAGGGGTTGTCGGAATGATTCATTGTTTCGATGTTTGCCGCCTGTAGGGGACGCCATCTCCAGGTTTGAATTTAGGGTTCTTCTTCTCTTGGATGAGTTGCCGACCAAGGTTAACGAGTTCCATCTACCCGGGGTGCTGGCATGGGCGCCGACTTGCCCCCCCCCCCTGGATTGATTGGATAAAATTTTTTTAGACAAAAATAGACAAAAAATGTATTAAAGTACAGAGAAAATAAAGAGAAAGTAACTAAGCTGATGTCCTGTACGTTCGTTCACCATACAAATACGCTACACTAAATTAAAACTACATTAAAACATTACAAAATTTTTTTTGCCCCATCAAGTTTTTTTTTCTTTGAAGAGTTTTATAAAAAAAAGTATTTGGACAAGAATAAATATCTTTTGTTTTACAAACTTGCTCTTTCGATGGCTTCGCTATTCGGAAACACTTATGCGTGTGAACAGCCTTTTAGTCGTATGAAGGACATCAAGCCACAAGTGAGAACACGAATTACAGAGTTTCATTTGGAAAACTGTTTGCGTGTAACGACAACATCGACAACATCGGTCGAGATCAATTTTGATGCATTTAGTTCTGCAAAACCCAGTTAGATGTCTCACTTTGAAATATTTTTAACTTGTCTATAAAAAAAAATGTTTCACTCTCAGTTATGGTTTATTTTCTTCAAAAAAATAAATATACATATTTCTTGTTTTTTTGTTTTTTGTTGTTTTTTTTTACATTAAATCAGGCAAACGTTTGACCACGATCTCACCTACTGGTAAGCGACGATGTGGTCGAAGCTGTAACACGCGCTTGCTTGTTTACCTTAATTTTAAAATAAATACAAAAGTAGGTGCGTAGCCCGGCAGGAAATATTATTTCTGAAATTTGCCCCCCCCCCTGCTGAAAAGGTTGGCCACCCCTGGCTTAACGGGAGATGGGTCAATTAGCCGTCCGAAGATTTTGCCTGCCACCTAAACACTTATGAACAAAAGCGGAGTTAATATAAAAGATTTTATAAATAGGAGCGTGAAATGTGCGCATTCTTCAGGACAAGGACAACGTGGAAAGACCACAGAGGAGAACAGCCTTTATAGGTAATAAACTAGCCAGACAAAGGGCAGATGCGGCAAATGGTGAACTCCTAGCATGATGGCTGGACTTCCAAGGGGAGACAACGATGGGATAATAGCATGAAACTACGTCTCTCATCGGGAAGAAAAGACCTCACCATCAAAAGCTGCTGTGCTTCAACACTGAAGAAGTGAGCGCCAAGTTCTATGAGAATCTTCACACTGTCACAGCTGGTGTTCCAGAGCGGGACACGCTTATAATTCTTTGTGACTTTACTGCTCGAGTGGGCCGTGATCACATCGCTTAGGATTGGGGCTCCAGACTTGCGCCGAAGAGTTTCACTATAATAACTATAATTTTAAATCAGATAATAATTGTACACTTGCTGTCTGGCTGTGATCTCTTACCACTCCTTCATACTTTAGCCAAAGAAAGTCCCTTCTCATTCATATAATCATCATATGTTCCTGAAACTATGATTCTAGTAATGGCAGATAATATAAGATAAATAAGCTGCTTATATTGACCGAAATATCTAGAAATTTGTTGTAATTACATTGCACATATTGATTTCAATCTTGAAAAGGCTTTATTTTTTATTTTTAAATTATTATTAT